CCTTAGAACAAGCTTTATATTTCTGCAGAGATGGCTGGTCCCCTTCTTTGGAGTGTGCGTTACACAATATTCACACAACGGCCATTTTCTGCTGACGTCATGATCAAGGTCAAAGATCAACTAGTGTTGAAGTGTATGTTTGTGTGTGTGTTGTCTCCTTGTTACTCAGATAAACAAGGAGATCCGACGAATTGTAATCATTTCACCACTTCTGAATTAAGCAGAAAATCAGACGGGACAAAACTTCATATTTTAATCGTGTAATACTTTGAATGACTCGTTAACAGGTTAGTCATAACAGCTAATGTTAGTATTAATCAATGTTGACTTAATATATAAATATCAGTGTTTCCTACACATAGACGATACCTGGGCAGGCCGCCCAAGTATATTTCTGGCGCACTTGTTTTTATGTACCGGTAATTTTTAATTTATTCATAAAATTGCTGGGTCACGAAAGAGTGAGAGAGAGATCGGAGTAGAGAGAGAGTGCATGAGAACCTTACAGCTCTGTTCAACATAAAAAAACATCCCTCTGGACTCCTGCGGAGAGATAAGACACAGCAAAACCAACAGAGCAGAATCACATCAGCTTCAGAGAGAGAGAGAGATAGAAGGTCCACTGCACCGATTGAGGTGCCTTTCTCCAGGGTCCAAAATGAACACCTGCCAAGCGCCAAATGCAGTTAGATTTTCCGTTAGGCGAGTAGATTTCAGAGGGTTATGCGCCATAGGGCGGGAAATGTTTGACCAAAAAGTCATATATAAAAACTATGCTCAAACCCTGGGACTGATGTGTAAAGACTGCAGCCTCTGTGTTTGGGGGCGCCGGCTCTACCCACTGAGTCAAACCAGCACCCCGTGCAGACCTTAAACTTTCTTAGCAACCATATGTTCCTCACGTGCTTTAAAAAAGAGAGAGTCAAAGAAGCTGTTGTCCGTGCGCCATTCGAGGCCGCTAAATCCCAAACACTGTTCCTTTAATTCCTTTAACGATAAACTTTTTTTTTTTTTTCTGTTTCTAGTGGCAGAACATCGTAAAAGAAAGTTGTTGATTTGCCTCTGATGTGCTGTGTCATTACATTTTGTAGATAGCCAAACACTTTTGTAAAATACTGATGTACAGCCTTTAAAAGGCTTTTTATTTTTTCTTGATTTTGATCTTTTTTGCCAAAGTTTCATGTAATAAAAGCTGCAGATTTGGGGTCCTGTAGCACATGAAAGATGTGTGTTTATTCATGACTTTAGGAGTTCTGTATCTGTCGATCTGAACTATTTGTAGCAGTGCATTTCATTTTAACGGTTGTTTTTCAGTTCCTGCTTTAGGCCATGAAAATATGGAGTACCAATCCTGTGTCTGAGGAGTAAATATGAAGCTACGGTTATCTAGCTAGCCTGTGTCGATTAATTCAAATGAATAGAAATTACCTCTCTTTGAAAATGATTCATATTTTAGCTCATCAGATCAGTGGCTTGGACTGTCAGTAAGTGTCCTTTATATCCACTGAAGAACAAAGTAACAGGCACCTGAGCTTGTTTTGCTTTTATCAACCCACTGAGTGTCAATTTACGCTCCACAGCAAAACAACCATATGGAGTTGATATTGAGGTTTAGTCTGGCAACAAATTGAAATGTCCTTAACATTTCTAACAGCCTGTCTGAACAGCATGCGACGTAAGAGCGACTTAATCAGCTTGATTCTTTTGTTTCCTATTGGGGTTGCCTAACTGCCGGGCGCACCATTTCTACCCTGACGTCCCATTTCTGTTTTCATTCATGTCATTCGCATGAACAAACAAGTAACAAGGTAGGCGGGGGCTCTGAAAGGCACTGACACTGGCTTTTGTCACTCAGCAGAGCTCATTAGCTTGTTAGCTTGTCGTTCAAAGTGCAGATGGTGCTGCAATTATAATATCCACAGTATGATTGAAATGTCGTTCTTTGACTTGTGTCAACAACACCGGAGAAAAACTTTATTCAGCTCACCATGAGCCGTTAATTGATGAGGCTCTGAATGTTGTGATTTTAATCGACAACTCGTCAATACAAAAGCACCACACATCTGTTTGTCCACCTTCAAAAGAAAAGCACCACATGTTATAATGTTTATTGGGGGAAACTGAAATTCACAGCGGAGAAGTAAATATTTAAAGGATACAGACAGCCAGCGTGTAATCATGCACGATGCGATGGGGTGTCCAACGCTCACATGCTGTTAGGACATGGTGTCAGTTATTACATGAATAAAATGTTTTTTCGTTTATGAAACAACCTCGGAAACCTTGGTTTCTCTAAGTGTATAGTTTGGGTCAATCAGATTGTAAGATCAGTTTATAATAGCTTTAAATTGTTGAGGTACGTCGACTTTGATGCAGATGTTTATTAAAAAGAACAAAACAGATCAGTGAGATTTTATAAACAGAGATCGCAAAAAACACAGTGCCAAACCAAGATGTTGAACTAACTAAAGTGCACACGTCATGCTTGATATCTGTGGGGTCTCATTTCAGAGCTGTTTGTTTCATTGAAGGTTTCATAGTGTAGAAATGATCCTGTTAATCAAGTGCCCGTTTGTAAGGAGCTCCTGAGACATTTTCACATTAGTCGTGAATCCTAGATGATGCAGGCATTTGTGTGTTTCAGATGTCTTTTATAATATTTCTCTATTTTGTCTGTATTTTGAAAAATAAAGTTTACAACCACCCCAAAAAAATCCCTTCTCTTTTTTGTATATGTTTTTATTGAAACAATCTCAGAAGAAACAATACAATGGAGATGTACTCAATGTATGTATTTAACTTTTTTACTAACATTTTTATATAATCTTTGGTCAGCTAACCGCCAATCAGATAGCTCGTTAGTTACCAAACACAGTTAAAAGGTGCTCGGGGCATCTGCAACAGTGACTCTAAATATCCACATCTTGATCCAGAAGTAATTTTCACCCCGTTCCCTTAACCGAATGATTGTTGTTTGTCATTGGCCATGTGACTGATATTCAAAGGTCACATATACTCCTCCTTTCTTGTTCCAATTCGAATTGTTTTCAAGGGAGTCGCCAATGCGCAGCCCGGGTCCCTACAGTCGCGTAGAAAACTGATAATCTTTGCGGTGGGTTATCTTAACAGAATCCACTCTATGGGTTTTAAGCAAATACAGTTTCCCCCAGGGGATGAAGGTTTTGTTGGTGTGAGAGCAGGACCCATGGGCCAATCATTGTCATTATTCCCATCAATAGCAAAGTATGAAATGCCATCTGGATACAATGATGACTGCGAGGCTTCATTTGAGCGCCAGGTTCTCTCCTGAAAAATAATATGCAAGCACTTATTGTTCTTCTGTGTTTTAATCAGTATGAGGTCACAACACTATTTTTTTTAAATATGTGGTCTGTCCTTGCCTTGCATTTTATTTTAATCTGTTTCCTTCCAATCTTTGCTAACAATACATATTATTTTACATCTGCAAAGCTACTTACCAGATATCAGTGTTGGCTGAGAGCTAAGAGCCTCACACAGGGCACCAATTATGTTGGGGTTTGCAGAGCTTGCACACACACAATTTATGTTGGAGTTTTACGAGTTAAATTAGGCTATTAGATTAATATTCATAATTATGATTATTTAATTATTAATATAAATTAGCAGTATTAATAATCTGAAGGAATAACAATGGGGCACCACCATGGAATCAGGGAGTAATAACCAAGTAACACAAATCAGTCTTGAATTTAATTAGTTAAATGCCAATATAATGAATATTTAATAGATATCTAAATTTAAATAAGTGGAGGGCATGAATCCTAACCCTTATTTAATAAAGTAACATCAACTGAAATCAATGAAACTCAAAGAGTTGGGGGAGGCAAAGAGAGAGAAAAAGCACGATGTGGTGAGGTCACATGGGGACAAAATGGTGGACAAATAACAAAGTGAGCTCTGTGGCTTGGCTTTTGAAGCAGATGGAACTTCTCTGAGATAAGGTCAGTAACTATAACTTAAACACCGGAAAGCCAGTGGTCGGACTTTGATTCAATGGCAGTTGCACTAGTCTTTCTGAGGGTGAAAGTAGTTAACCGAAGGTAAGATAGCACAGCAGTGAATAAAACACACCGATATGTGAGCATGACAATCAGCAATAATAAGAAAAATGTAGCAGCTTACAATAGATACTAAACAGGATGTGATGTTATGGTCCGTCAACAATAATGCACAATAATCAATTGTTATAAAAGGAACCTTCCTAAAGCTATTTCTGCCCAGACAAAAGCCTCTTACTTGGGATCTCCTGGTGATCGGTGCAAAGCGATCATGTCCAATTGCGTTCAACAACGTCGACGAAATTCATCAATCATAACATCAATATTAGACTGATGAGTCTCTTATCATACTTAGCTGTAACTGCTAATATACAACAAATACTTTTACCATTATTACTTACACTGTAGCTCTAAATACAAAACTACAATATATCCAGAATTCTGCTGCTCCCATTCGCACACACTCCTGCACCTGTGACTACATCACCACCGTTCTTCGTGACTTCCACTGGCTCCCCGAAACCCAGCGTATCCACTTCAAAGTCCTCATCACCACTAACATAGCCCTCCACCGGCATACTCCACCTCTGCACTCTCAGGTCTACTGATGCAAACCACTTGTACTTCCCATGCAGAACGAACCATCAGTCCTGGGGGGGGGGCAAAGCCTTCTCCATTGCCACTCCCACACTCTGGAGCTCACTCCCAAAAACCATCAGAGCCCCCCCTCCCCCCTCCCCCTCTCTACCTTCAAGAAGTCCCTAAGCAAGTTGGTGCCTTGCTCAAGGTCACCTCGGCAGTACTCAGGAAGTGAACTCCAGCTATCAGACCAATTTCCAGATTTTGTTCGGTTCCTGACCCAAGGCCCTACAGACTGAGCTACTTGCCGCCCACTATTGATTGATATCAGCGCTGACGGCAGCTTTGTCTACAAATGCATGGCAGTAAAACAAGATGCAATTATCCTTTTACACAAATTTTATTATTTTCAATGCAAACAATCAAAATTAAGCCGTATCTATTAGTTTGATTCATGTGAGTTCAGTTGGTTAAATTTAGCTCATTTTGGATAAAGTGAATCTTGATGCTAATCCAGGACGGAGCCATAAACCTCCACCTCGCACAGGGTCAGGTACTCCTCCTTTCCAGGGATGAATACGTTCACATAGCGGCCATCCATCCCATTACATTGAAATTCAACAGTCGCTCCAGCAGGGATGTTATCTACCACGGCGCATCTGACAAAAGAAAGACCAATCAAGACGTCACATTCTTTAACACATAAGTACCATTTTAAAAAATGTTCTCTGTTATAACTGTGAAACATGTGTAACTGCAGAACTTTTCCTCAATATTTATTTAATTTAGACTTAGACTTTATTTATCCCAGAGGGCAATTGGGTTCCACAGTCCATCCAGACCATGCATATATTTACAAACAAACAACAGAAGAAGATTAATCAGAGACAACAAACAATCAGTATTTCAGTAGTACTGTACATACAGGCCCCTGGAGCAGAAGAAAAAAACGTGTGCTCAAACAGGCTGTTGGGAGATCAAATGCAGGATCAGAGTGGATTTAGAACAAGAAACTTCACAGATATGTTTTGGGGAGCTCTGAGACATAGTTAAACTGGTTGAAGAGGAGAATACCATGTGACCTTTAAGTGAACAGGGTGAACACTATACCTTGGGTTGTTGTTGCCATTGTTTTCAAGTGAGTCTCCAATGCGCAGCTCGGCTCCACTCAGTCGTTGATAGGAATCAAGAGCTTTGCGGTTGGTTATCTTAACAGAATCCACTTTATGGGTTTTAAGCAAATCAAGTCGCCACCAGGGGGCGAAGTTAGTGCCGGTGTGAGAGCAGGACCTGTGGGCCCGATCGTTGTCGTTATTCCCATCAATAGCAAAGTATGCATTGCCTTCTGTATACAATGATGACTGTGAGGCTTTTCCTTTGAGCGCCAGGTTCTCTCCTGTAAAATAAAATGCAAGCACTTACAAATATGTTTGTTCTTCTGTGTTTTAATCACTATGATCACTATTTTTTTTAAATACATCTGCAAAGCAACTTGTCATATATCAGACACAATTTCCACAACATTTCCATTCTGAAATGTCCTCAATTCTGAAAGATTTCTGTGTGGGAGGGAGGGAGACCACCACATCTGCCTGTTTCTAACATCATATAAAGTCATAACTGATGTGTATCCATTCCAACATGCTGCGTCTTTGTTGAGCAGCCAATCACAATCAAGTATCCAACCAGATCGAGGTATGAACTTAAATGTTTAGATACATGCTTTAACAGAATGACTTTAACTTATTTAAAATAGAACTGTATGGCTTAAATCCTCACCTGTCGGGGCATGGTACCCGTAAACTTCCACTTCACACAGCGTAAGATACCTTTTAGCACCGGGTAGAACGATTGTCACATAACGTCCACTGGTACCAGAGCTTGGAGTCAGGGTGTGCGAGCTGCCTGCAGGGATGTGAGATATGGTTCCAGCCCTGAAACAGACACACAAACACGTTAAAATGATCATTATCGGGGCGCTGGTGGTGCAGTGGTTGGTGCGCGTGCCCCTTGTATGGAGGCTATGGTCCTCCATGCGGGCGGCTCCTTTCCCGCATTTCATTCCCTACTCTCCCTCCCTGATTTCCAGCTCTATCCACTGTCCTGTCTCCCCATTAAAGGCACAAAAAGCCCAAAAATAAATCTAAAAAAAAAAGATCATTATCTATCTGTGATGTGTCAAGGTCAGATAACACATCTGTCAAAACATCATATAATGTAAAATAATAATAATAATCATTTCATTTATATAGCACTTTTCAAGACAGATGCACCAAGTGCTTCCACAGACAACATTGTCAACATTGATTGTTCCAAAGCTGAAGAGCCAGTAGAGCAAATGGTCGATCACCCTTTGACCTTGGTCTGGGCTGTGGAACTGCTGTGAGGCCTAAACCTGCAGATGTCAGAGGCTGTTTTGGGTGCTAAGGAGCGAGGAGTTCATTGATGTAGTCTGGTGCCTGCAGGCATGGCCATGAAAAACCTTGTAAGTAATAAGTAACATTTTAAAATGGATACTAAAAGAAACGGGTAACCAATGCAAAGAGGATAAAACTAGGGTATTTTGTTGCCGAGGCTTTTCTAGTGACGCGTCTCTGTGTGATTGGCCCTGACTGTGCAGATGCTACCTCTAGGTTATTGCAGTATGAGGTTTTCAGTAGCTTTAATATCACTCACAGTGGGTTTGCAGCACCATTGTCTTGTAAGTGGTTGCCTATGTGAACCTCAGCCCCATTGAGCCTCTCTGAACAGCAGTCTCCTCTATTGGTGATGACGACGGAGGTGACGATGTAGCTGTCCAGCAGGTCCACTCTCCACCAGGGGTTTTCCATTTCTATAGTGTGAGTGCATGAACCAGCGTCGAAGTTTGATTCACGGTTTCCATCGATTGCACTGGAGGCATCCCCAAAGTTATGCAGAACGCGATGCGACTGAGTTGCTTTGCCACGCAAGGCCACATTTTCTGTTGAGGAAATTATTTATAGATTTATATTAAATAGAATCAGAATCAGCTTTATTGACCGTATACTTAAACACACACAAGGAATGTGTCTTCGGTAACTGTGCTCTCAATGTACCAAAGAATAACATTAAATATAAACATTTAAGCAAACAAAAACTAATATAGACAAAGCTAAATAAGATACTAGTGCAGTTGTGAGTAGTGCAAAATATGAATATATTGATATGAAATATATGCTACTATGTAACAGATGATTATTTTACTTGAGCTAAAGTTCTTACAGTATGTACATAAGCAGTATTCATGGAAATAGCTTCATGATGTCAGATTCCTACTCACTAAAAGGAAGTTTTCCCCAACAATGAACATTAAAATTTGTGATTATAGTATTTTTTTTTAATTTTCCACTTGTCTTAAATAAGTTTGATTGGCAGCTTCTCGTTGTCTATTTCTCACTTGAAGGAGTGGAAATGAAGGGAGCAGACAGTTTCCCCCTCCAAACTTAAACACAGTTAACCCTTTAACGATTTAGTTAGAACTGGTACTTGTGTTGTAGTAAAGACCACAGTAACCAAGACCAAGACATACCCGAGACCAGAGTGCTCAGAGACCAAGACAAGACCAAGACCAAGACAGGATGAGACGAAGACAAGACCAAGACCATAAATATCAATGAAAAAATCATCATCTTGTGTGCGGCGCCGGGTGTGTCACTCATTTAGACCACAACACTGGGAAGGTTGAAGCCGGCATTCTTCCTTCTCGTCACAGTGCTGACGTGGAAATGTAGCCGATCAGTGGTGGTCTTGATTTAAAATCCAGAGTCCACCCAGTCTGAGACCGAGACAAGACCGGGTAAAAATACTTTCGGTTCCGAGACAAGGCCGAGACCTTCTACTACAATACTAAGTGGTACTATGGATTGCATGAGAACTAGAATAGAGAGAACTCATTTTGTACATCAGTTTACCAACAATAAAGAGAATACCGTTATTATCACATTACAGTATACTTACCATAATTTCTGGCCGAGCACATTCCCAAGAGGGTCAGCAAAATAAATAACAAAACGTACTTCATTGTTCTGGATGAGACAGAAAAGAGAGAACAATTTTCAGTAAAGTGTCTTGAGATAAGATTTGTAATGAGTTGGCACTTTAGAAAAAAAGGATGTCCTGTTGCTTCAGGGCTCTTCATCCAAATTAAGGGCGTTTTCACATTAGGCTCGATTGCCCCCTTCCCCCACTCGTCTACGTTAAACACTTGCTTATTCACACTGTCCGATATAGCAGGTGGCAGTATGCACACAGGTGGTTTGCAAATCCTCCAAAAAGCTGAAGAAGCAACCATGGCAACCAATCATGGACTGAGTCCATCCTGCTAGCTGTGGATGTTTTTGTTATTTCTGGGACCCCAACAACCATCTTCTTATTACTTCCACATCTATTGTGCAGCTCAGAGGATGAAACAGGTCTGTGCTACTCGGATACAGCGGTTTTTGGAGCAACACAAGACTTTTTGAATGACGTCACAGTGGTCCACTTCCTTGTTTGATTACAGTTTCATCCAAATCTACCGCGGACCGTGATCGAGTACACATGAATCATGGCCGAGGCCACCTCTTCCAGGGGACTCGGGCACAGTACCCGAGTATGGTAAAAGTATGGTACGTTTGTGTTCACACTGATTAAATGACCGGACTTTGGGGTAGAGCATACTCGGATCTTGGCCAGGGTATCTGTTGCACCAGGCACTGGGTCACTGACCCTTTTTAAACGTTGTGCCTGCCTCACTCCAGGTTTGTGCCGACACTTTGCTGTAAACACATTTTAAATGCCCAATTCTTACTATTTTGTCCCACATACTCTTCCTTCTTCCAGTCTACCAACAGAGAAATACAAAACATTTTCAGAAAGTATTTTATTAGTGCCTTTGTCATACCTAAGAAATTACAGTTTCAAGCTCAGGTTTTAAAATATAATGAAGAATTTGCTAAGTCAGTAACTCTTGAAGGTACATTTTCAGTATTTATATGCATCGTACTAGTTGCAGGAATGAATACTTAAAAGAGAAAAATGAAATATTTACCCTGATTTCTGGTATTTCCCTGGAGTCCAACAATGCAACTCTTCCCCAGGCAGAGATGTGTGTGTGTGTTTGTGTGTGTGTGCAGACTAGTCTTACACGTATCCATAATATAAATACCCTAAAAGCCAATCACATCACATCATAAAGTCTACTCCCATGAAGACAAATCACACTCCTCTCCCAGTCATCTGGACTCAAGAGATCATCTAAGGGCACGCAAACGATAGCAGTCATGTGATTCCTACTTATAAATAAATACACAACTGCATTGATCCAACTGTTGTGACATGTGACAGTCTCTGCCTTCCCTCTAACAGTCAGGCTTTTACTAATACGTTCTGTCTCTCCTGTTCCTAAAGCAGAATCTGTAAGTCAGATGCAGAGTAAATAACAGTGAACCAGGACTTTGGCTTAACACACAAACATTAGCCGTTATATTTAAGAGCTTTTCAGATAGTATGCGGTGTGCACTGCGCTTGCGGGTAGGGCGCAGAGCAGAGGGGGAGTGAGCAAATCAGCTACGCAAGTCGCTTGTGACCGAAACGATAGTCGGAACAATAGCTCAATAGCATTGTGCCCCAGCACAATGTATGTGTCCACTATTCAGTAGAAAGTTCCGACCTTTCATCTGCTGGGAAGGAGGAGACGAACAGAAAAGAAGAAGAGGGTGTGGCTTCATGAAAGCCTCAGGGCGCGACAGGATGTGGGAGCGTTTAGGCTCGTTCAGGTGCTGCAGCTCTATAATGACTGCTTCACGAACACGCCACACATTTCTGCACAAACTAGAGCTCTTTGTCTGATGTCCTGGTAGGTCTGTAAACCATTATGACAAACAGTTGCATCCCACGCACCTGTCAATCACGTCAGCTATGCGCCTTATTGGGAAAACTCTTATCCCTCATAAAATCAAAATGGCTGACTCAAAAAATTCAGTGAAACTGTGTAAACAGCAATGGTTGCATCACATGGATTGTGTGTGTGTTTCCCGACAAACCGATAACACTCGATTTCATCTCAGACTTTAACCCATGAAGGTTGCCAATAAAAACATTGGCAGTAAAACAGTGTAAACAACATTGGTTGCACATTTTTCAACCCCTGTCCCCCCCCCCTCTGTATACGCCCCTGGGGTTACGACATTGAACATTAACTCTGGGACTACTGCAGTGGGAATTATTGAACACTTCGGTTCACTTTCGTACGTTGTTTGTACGGACTGAGTTAACCTTGGAGCGTTGCCTGATGTCCTTCCAGCTTCCCATAGACTGTAAATATTAATTGTTCAATCAGTAAGCTCTGTAGTGAGTGAAATGATAAAGTGACCTTACTATATGATCAGACATTAAGGAAACATGCTCTGTTGAAGTGCTGGCTTCTCTGACAACAATGCAGCAGCCAGTATGTCCTCCTTCTAACTTTAGATTCTGGTCCTGAATGCTCTGGATTTGTTTGGACCAGAGAAGGTAGGCGGTTTTAAGGCACACGGCCATGTTGGACGCCCCTCGGTTTGTCAGATATGAGAGCAGTTATCAGGTCAAACCAACAGGTGTTGCAGCGATGGAAGAACTGTTTCAGATAGAAGTGATTGTACCTGACCTAAAAAGCCTCTGCATGTTTCTAATAAGCTCCACGAGAAGAAACGTGCTCAAACTAGGATCAATATTGGAGATGCTTTTGAAAAATGGAGAGAGGTTAGAATGCAGAAAGGTTTACAGAGCGAGTTACATGTTGCTCCTTTAATGAAAAAAGCCTGAGTGACGTCGACCGTCTGTTCCTGCAGGGGGCGCTGGAGTCCCATTGATGGCGGTCTCCATGCTGGAAATGCTGTCTCAGCCTAACTTTCAGTCAACCTAACGACAGGCTGAGAGCTGGAGCTGAGGCGGGTTTTAAGCCTCCTGACAAACCGTTACACTGCACCCGCCTGTCAATCAGGTCAGCTGGTGCAACTGGTTTAAAAAACATCCAGAGCTCTGTCCGGGTTTAAAAGAAGTCCAGGTCGTCTGGAGTGTCCAGGTCTCTGTACTTGATGATGGAGCGGGGGTCCCCTCGCACGCCCCTGCCCACGCCTTATTGTGAATAACTCTTATCCTTCATCAAATCAAAACGAATGAGTCATCATAAAATTCAGTGTGTGCCGATCAAGACATGAGCCAATCAGACCTATTTGGTTTTTTGAACCAGGCTGTAAAGATGTTTATCTCTGCTGTAAAAACAGGCTTTTTTGAATGGGTGTGTATGTGACTTCCTGTGCTTCTGCAGCCAGCCTCTATTGGACACTCGAGGAACTGCAGGATTTTGCACTATAGCATAGTACACTACAGTAAAGAAAAACATTTTGAATCAATCCCCTTCTAAAAGCAGCGCTCAATGGTTCAAGCATTTATCAGGATAAGTCACAACAGAAGAATGAGATTCAGACTCTGGCTCGTTCTGTTGTTTTTTATTTGTATTCATTAGTTTCTATTTACAAACTGTTTAATGTGAAATTAAAAACTCAGCCAAGTCAAATATGTTACAAACAAATCCAAAAGAAGAAACTAGTGCAAACAATATAATATGTATATACAGTCAGAACATGGTTGTTGCAGATTTGGCTTGAAATAGTGAAAAAAAGGATGCACGATATTAAAGCAAGGAGTTTACTAAAGCATGGACAAAGATATGAGTTAAAGCTTCTGTATGGAGTCTCGAGCTGGTCATGAAACAGTCTGAAATGAGTTCTGGTGTGTCTATATAACATTTTAAAGCACAAGAGACCTTCATCCTAAAGATTGACCATTTCTATAAAGTTTCAAAGTAAAATGTCATTGATAAAAACGTTCAACCTCCTCTGAGATCTAATCCAGTCTGGATCCATAGACCTCAAACTCACACACAGCCAGGTACTCCACCCTTCCAGGAATGACCACGTTGACGTAGCGGCCGTCCATCCCGTTACAGTTGAAGTTTTCAGTGAAACCTCCAGCAATGCTGGTAATCACAGCACACCTAGCAGAAGAAGAAAGTGCCTCATTAGCTCAATACTTCAAGTGTTAGCTTCAGAGTAGAGAATAAAATTAGAATAAATCATCCATCTATCCATTATCTTCCGGTTATCCGAGGTCGGGTCGCGGTCGCAGCAAGTGAATTAAGTCAACCCAGACTTCCCTCTCCCCAGCAACATTTTCCAGCTCCCCATGGAGGATCACGAGTCATTCCCAGGCCAGACAGGATATTTAATCCCTCCAGGGTCTACCCCGGGGTCTCCTCCCATTTGGGCGTGCAAGAAAAACCTTTAAAGGTAGGCGTCCAGGAGGATCCTAATTAGATTCCCGAACCACCTCAACTGGCTCCCTTCGATTAGAAGGAGTAGTGGCTCTACTGCGAGCTCAATTGGAATAAAATAGGAATCTCAAAAAGGTCTCTTTCATCTATTTGCCCTTTTATACCTGACGTTAAGTGCGGCTTTGTTGGAAACCTTTATGCCTTTATTCTGGAACTCAAGATTCTATCATCAAATGCAAAAAAACCTTTATTTTCTGATACCTGACATGAAAACTGAGAGCTGTAGTTCGTTTGCTCTGGTCTGAATCATTGACCAGTTTGTTCCATTGTTGCATAATTACCTCAAATTTGGTCTGGACATTTACAAGTGGATCAAATGTGGTTGTGAATAAATTATTTTGCTCATGAGATAGTTTCAGGCGCGCAGCAGAAACTTGTTTTTAAATTATATCTTCTAGCCCCATGTTGCCTTTGGGCCTCCATACTATCTGGTTTTACATTTAAAAAAAATTGTAGGTGCTTTCAGGAGAAGTTTGTTGTTCCAACCAAGCCCAATGACAGATAAATTGACTTTCACGGTTTGTACTATTTGGATAAACTACCTGGTATTGTTGTTTCCGTCATTGTCAAGGGAATCTCCGATGCGGATCTCAGCTCCGTTAATTAGTTCAGGAAGAGTATTGTAGTTGGTGATGTTACAGAAAACACTCTGTGTGTTTTGCCCAGATCCAGTCGCCACCAGGGGTTCATAGTTTTGGTGGTGTGACTACAAGATCCCTCGGCCCAGTGCTGGCACGATTCCCGTCTATGGCAAGATTTGCAAAACCTGTTGCATGCAGTGTCGACTGTGTAGCTTGTCCCTGGAGTGCCAGATTCTCTCCTGCAGAAAAGAAACAGTTGTAAATGTCAGCGCTGAGTGTTTAACTTGATGCTATGTGCAGTCAAAGTTTTCTTGAACCGGAAACTTGTAACTATGTGCACTTTGCCGACCTCTACATTGGTGAAAGAAAACTTCTGAGGTTATAGAAAATCATGTTACTCGTTTTGAAAGGCATTCAAATCTTAAAGGATGCAGAATAAATGTGTTGCTTTATAGAACATTTTCCAGCAATAAAAAGTCACAAGCCTGATCTTTGCATCAAGATCAAATCAAGAAAAGCTTATTTTATTTTCCTTAATGGTCTTCAATATTTTTTATTAATATTAAATATATATATATATATATATATATGTCAAACAATGTTGGTAATAAAGTATTTTTCAAAATTAAAAATTTAATGATTTGTTTGTTATTGTAATACTCATTTCAGCCAGAAGAGGCTAAAGTGCACTACCACCTCCATGTTTTTAACGGGAAACATCTTCAAGTAAAAGAAAGTGTATGCAGTTTGCACGTTTTCACATTTAAATGAATGCATTTTAAACTGTGGTGTGACTGAAGCTGTATAGAAAATGAGACCGCTGCCGCTTTTACTCCGCAGGTCATACCTACACATTCACACACTGATGGTAGAGGCGGCTGTGTAAAGAGTCCCTCAGTATTAACTTATCCATTCGTACACATTCACACACGGCCAACGAAGCAGCAGGAGCATCTTGGGGTGAAGTGTCTTGGCCCAGGACACATCGAACATGTTGCCGCAGGAGCTGGGGATCGAACCCCCGACCTTCTGGTTGAGACAACTTACTCTACTGCTGGGCCACAGACGCCTCAAGTCAGACCTTCGTTAGCTACATCTTTAATGGCTCAGGATAAAATATGCAGGTGCTCAAATTCTCACCAGTTGGTGCATGGTACCCATACACTTCCACTTCGCAGAGTGAAAGGATCTTTTCTGGACCAGTCAGAGTCACAGTCACGTAACGTCCCACCACAAGTTTGGTGAAGGTGACTTTTAAAGACCTGCCTGCTGGGACATGAGAGATGACTCCAACCCTACGGGAGATCAAGA